CATTTCTAAATACAATTGCGCATGAGTTAAATACAGGGTAGAGACACTACTCATCAATCCAAGTCCATTTCCTCAATTTTTCTCAGTACGTCTCTTTCTTCATACAGAAGTGTGAAGCCTGAAATGGTATCTAAATCTAGTGTTGAGATAAAATGATGAGAGATGGTATCTAAATCTAGTGCTGAGATAAAATGATGAGCTCTAACTCAAATATGTAGCAATACCGTTTGGCTTTATTCTAATTAGATCTTGGAGCTCATTTAGCAACTCCTACTTCCTCTGTTATTGTTGATATTCATTCTTGAAACACATATTGGTTTTGCTTTTCTTTCATAGATGTTCTTCGCATATTGAAATTTACAAATCCTTCTAGAAAACTCTACACCCATCCATTTGATAATCTCTATTATCAGATGACCTGCAATAATAAGCAATTTGTTTTAAATTTATAGCAATATAAGGTGTGAATCAATTGTGTGAGCATGATCAGAATTATGAGATGATTATCAATTCACTGAATGGGACAGTGCATCCATTATTTACATGAGCTACCAAAAAGATCAAAACATCCTTATGGGTTAATTACATATTTGCAACACAGAAAATTCCCTAATCGTAATTGAAGAGTATGTAGACAATTCACGTTTCAACTCCGACCTGATGGGCAAGGATTGACTAGCGACAGCTTATGCACTAATTATCAACAAAATCCGTCCTAACCAGTGTTCGCAAAATCAAACCGGAACGGTTAACCGAACATGGGCATGAAAGTGGTTTAACCGGCCTAATCGGTAAACTGGCCGATTCAACTGCTCTAACCGGGCAAGTCCCGGGCGGTCAAAAAAGTGTCAAAAAAATAAAAAAATACAAAAAAACTAGTAAATATGAAAAGCATATAAAGAATGATTAAAGAAAAACACATTCAAATGAATTTAAAAATTAATGAAAAAAAATGGATTTTAACATATTTATATTTTCCAAAGGCTATTTTTAAAAAAAATTTAAAAAAATGGAAAAATATAAAAGTGAGTATTAATGACCAAAAGAATTTTTAATCTTTACCATAATGTAAAGAATATTTAAAAATGTCTTACAAATAAAATTCCTTATTTTTGAGAATTTATATATATTTTTTTGAATTTTTTTTTTAAAAAAATACCAGTTGATCACCCTAACGCCCAAAACTGAAACCGGCCACTGGCTGGTTCCGATCTAACTAGGCGATTAGCGGTTAGATCGGGTGATTTTGCAAACAATGGTCCTAACAAACAAACCAAGTAGATTGCATGTCCTAGATTTGTGCAATAGTGATGCTCAGTATTGGTGGTCATCTGATGATAAAAATTTTCATATTGATGGGTCGAGTTTTGTAGAAGGATTTGAAGCAGTGTGTACGCGCAGTTATATTATAGCTTCATTTCAATAGTTTTTGGCTTTGTTGAGCTGTATCTTGACCATGAAGCTCATGAGCCTATTTTATGTAATGTCGATACATTATTTCGTCGTTAGCAACACTGATGGCATGTTATACTTATTATCCAGGAATCTACATGTGCATTGAAACATTCCATTTAGATGCGACACCGAAAGATAGCAGTTCTCTGCGAGAAGATTCACCACCAATCTTTACTATTTGACTCTATTATAAAAGAAACTGCCGATATCAAGTAAGTTGTTGACAGCATGCATGGCTTGCAAGCGAAAAAGAGCAATCAAGCATGTAGCTTTCTGTCTCGAAGCTGTAATCCTTTGTCAGCTTTATGTTTGAAGCGGAATCATTGGATTTTTTGCCCACTCAAAATTTATTTTCATTGTACAGTTCTTTATTTGGACCGCTTATTCCTCATCTTCCTTGCATGTCTAACACTCAGCTACCATATTGAAAAGGAAGGTGGATGATGTTTTGTTATTCGAAAAAGACTTTAAAAAGGTGTGGTCACTTCCTGAATTGGAGTTGATTGCTCTCAGGAAATTTTGGTTGCCAACTCTGTCAATATTCATGAAGTCTAATGGAATGTATTTCAAAATCACATAAATCTGAAGATGCTCCTCATTTCCTCTGACGGATGCCTGTCAGTTCATATTTCTTAGCTTGATGCAAACCGGATACTCTATAAGATGCAACTACCACCTTGATTTATGGGCTTCCTAAATAATTGTCTGTGTTTGTGGAGTGGGAGACTTTTACTAGGTTTCTGTCCTTGCATTTTTCTTGTTGAGCCTGCTATATTTTTCTCTTCTTTACCTTCAGTTTCTGGTTTGCCACTCAGAAGGTTTCTTGATTCTATCTTGGCAGAGAAGATAAGAATTTTAGAGAATAAAATCAAGAACAACCAAGATGAGCTCAAGAGAAAGGATCAAACCACTTTGGAGATGAAAAAAAGATAAGAGGAATTGACAACAATAGATCGTCTTCAGCCACAAATAGAAGCTATATCCATCTCATACTTGTTATTATGTTAAGTATCTGTCAAAGGTGATTTGAGTATCAGTGTACAGTCAGATTTTTTATGTTGACCAAGATTACCTACAGAATGACATATCTGTAAAGGAAGAAACTATCCAAAGTTTGGTTACTAAGAAACACGTTTTTCGAACTTTCTCTGATCTTTCATTCTGCAATTTCCCACATTGAGTGTATTGAATGATTCATTTATTTTGAAATATAGACCTTGCTTTTGGAGAAACAAAACTTGGGATTGGCCTTGCAAAAGATTCAGGAGAGTGCTTGGGCCAAATTTACAGTGGTAAGAAATCTCGGATTTCTTATTGCTTAATTTAATTACTCTTGGAAGTCTGTTTACTGGAATTGTTAGGAAACGAGAGAAATTTTAATCCTTGAAAGGTTTATTGGATTAAGGGGTGTCTGTTCTGATTTTCACATAACCAAAATGAAAACATACGTAACTTTGGTTATTACATCTGTCCATATCATTTACTCAAATTATGCGTCTTGCATACACAGGATCAGGGAGTACTCCTTTCAGCACTACAAGTTAAAGTTATAGACCCTGAAATAAACTCAAGGCAGCCTGATAGGTGGATCTATGGTTCTACATCAAGCAATTTTCCTTTATTTTATTTTCTTCAGTTGAGCAAATACATAGAAAATAAATAGTGGCCTAGTATCACATTATATTCCTATCTTATTGTCTCTTTTCAGGTCACTTGTCAGGTTAGACGAAAAGATTCAAGAGGATGATGCAAGTTTGGTATACAAGCATCTTGAACAAGGTAATGCTATAATATAGTTATTTTTGTTTTCATACTCCTTGGAATTTGTTATTCGATCCATGAGCTTGATTCGAACCGATAACCTAGGGTTCCAAGACTAAGCTTCAAAACCATTAGGTTCAATCCTGAAAATAAACTACAAGCGGATGTCTAATAATCATTTGTCTTATTAACTACTACTCCGATGCAAAATCCGTCATTCCTTTATCTTTGTATATTTTTTTTTTTTTTTTGCAGATATGCATCATGAGTACTGCATGGAACAAAATCCTGGACATGGCCAACATATCTCCACTGCGGTCACCTCTGAGGAAAGCAACAACCTCTATGGTTCTCACAAATGCAACCACATGAACATGCCATATATTTGGGATTACCATAACATTGATTGTTTCCATACAATCCAGTTGGTTGAAGTGATGTCCTCAAATCCTGTATCACAAACTGATGGAAACAATGTCTCTGTTGATGGAAAGGTGGTAGGAGCAATCAACGAGTATTATTAATGCTTATACATACTTCCATTTTTCTGGTTTGGTAGTGTATTAATGCTTATACCTGTGCTCCTATTAACGAGTTTTATTCATGGAATAATTTTATGATTTTACATGGCGACTGTGTTTCTTTTGTGCAAGAGCTTGCCACTGAGAGTTCTATGACCAAAACAGAAACTTGAGTAGAGAGGTAATATGCTTGTTCAATTATGCTTTTTACTGGGTTCGCCTATTTGACAAAATTGTGAGAAGTTCAGTCTTTCCATTTGTTGAAATTGGGAATAATCTTACCACTGGTTGGTTATTATAAATGCATGGAGTCTCATTATTCTAAGAGGGTGATTATGCTTAGTATTTTGTCAATGTGTTTTACATTGCATCTTTTTGCTTTTCATGTTCCCCATCTACTGCTTCTCATATTTATGTGAAATTTATGGCTCCACTTGACTCTATAAATCCTGGAACTTATGTGTTTCCAGATTAGTTATTTGTCAAGTTGGGATGTGCAATTTCTATCAATTTGCGAATCGATGCTTGGAGTTAAAGTAGACTTTCTTTCAAAGGGTTGTGTTCCAATCTATTATGTCAACTTTGTATATAATTCCCATTAGAATTGCAACAAGTTCAATGAGAAACAGCAAAACACACCCTGCCATCCAGGAATAGTTGTGCCTCGGGCTGCATGTAACCTACATTTTCTTTGATGTTAGCTCAAGAATTGTTGGTAATGCTTGATTTTGATCTCATAATGCTAGTTCGGTCATAAATTGTTTCACTTCTTGTGACATATTTGAGCTTCTGGGCATGCTTAAAATCAATATATTTTCTATGCAAAATTTCTGAACATGTATCTTTACATAAGATCATTTGATATAGTTAAAATTTGAAGAAGAAAAAACTGACAAAAACATGTTTCTTTATGACTCGTGGATGTTTGGGTTTGCTTTTGAACAAGTGAGTGTACTGCTGCGTTCCATTTAAATGTGAGAACAGTGCACCTCATGTGGGTTATGTAGCAATAATGGGTGCAGCACAGCGATCTCTGTTTCATCTAGTCGTAGGCTAGGCCAAAAGATCACGTGGTGGTTGATCAGGCTGTTTCGGAGAACAACGATCACCTTTGCTCATTCTTTGACACAGTGGCTTCATGGCAGATCTCTACTGCGGCCACCTACGGTTCCGGTCTGTACTGTACTTATAAGAGTCGTTCATGGTGATATGTACTACTTTTTTTGTCATTTTTTTTATTGACAACTTTGACTTGTTGCATAGCTATAAACGATTCTGGACAGGTGCATCCCCATGAGTGACACCGAACTTTGATATTGCTATGGGCGATGCTGTGTAATGCAACTTGGTTAGCAATTCCAATCGCTGCAAAATGGAAAGCAAGCTCCAAGTCCAACCAGTGCATGGGCGTATGGCACGCATCTCATACTCGAATGGCATGCTACGCTTGCTCCGTATAAGTAACGTACTCTCTCTCTTCAATGTGCACAAATAAAAAGAGTATTTGCATATAAATACATTAGTTTCTCTTGCCTTAGATGCGAGACTAAAAACCCATTACTTCTCGCGATAACAATATACTCCAATTACTTCTCTCTATAACAATATACTCCAGAAAACCATGCACTTTGAAATTATATCATTTTAAAATGGCACTTAGTATTTTTCAAAACAAAAAAGTACCAACATTAGATACCTGTGGTCACTGGGTTCCTATGTCGTGGTATACTTCCCCTCATCTATTCTATCTATATTAAGCCATAAGTGAGGCTAGGGATGACATTCAATGCGAGTAGTACCCTAGGAAGAGAGATTTTAGGTTTGAATACCTATTCAAAGTGGGTGTTTGGGGTTATCAGTTCTTAATTCAATTTAAAGTTTATCTCATCCTATAATTATCTTCATAGGTAATTTGAGGGGAAATATAATAGGAAGTCTAATTGAAAACAAAAATCTTCATTTTAATAACGGTGTGGTTTCTATAAGGTTGCAACCTTAAACAATCCAATTAAGGCACACCTTCAAATTTTATCACATAATTTTGGTGTAAAAAATTATTAGGATTATTTTAAAATCTATTTTCATATCTTACTATAAAGTTTTAAATTAAAAAAAATGGTTTAAATCAAGTAGATCTATAAACATATGAAAATCTTGAAAATGGATGGTCCGGATAATGTTTTGCAAGGTGCACTATTTGTGAGACTCAAAATCCTTTTTTTTCATATTCATATTTCTCGATGTCAAGATAGTCAATTATAGGGTTTTCCTATATTAAATCAACATTTTTCCATGAATTTTTCAGGTGCATATGTAGTTCTACATTTTTAAGGTTGCAACCTTTTGTAAACTTTTTCCTTTTAATAAATACCTTATATTTAGAGTAAATATTTTGAATGCAAGTGAAGAGAGATTTTTTACTAATTTGAATATTATTCACTTAAAGCTTGTTTGGGGTACTCGTTGTCACTGTCAATTCAGCGTTTTAACAAAATTAGTCCTTATAATGAATAATATATTATTTGCTACTATCCCTCCTATCATTATCTAAAATTAATTTAATAGGCAATTTTAAGTTTATCTTTATGAAAAGATAATTTTACTTTACCCATATTAATTTTCTGAAAATTATTTATGTTTATTCATAAATGGCTACAAAATGTCCATATATTAATACAGAGAATGCTCCAAAAAACGAACAAAATAATATATTAATTTAAAATAAGATAATCTACTCATAATAAAATCGCCAAATAATATATTCGTTTCAAATAAGATCATCTACTCATGATAAAATTAACCGCCATCCAAACTGGCCCTCCCTAATCCCGAAATTTTAATAGTTTATTTTCTGGAAAACAATTGTTACTTAGAACTTTCCGAATTTAGTCATAATATTTGAAAGGCTATGACACGCACATCTAGCTAATTTATCTAACTTATTAAGCTTTTATAAGACACGTAATCTATCATTAGAGATTAGAGGGAGAAAAATCGATTTACTAGGACTCCTTATTTTTGAGGTTATCAAGATTTAGTTTCCTTCCACTTTTAAGGAAAAAAGCCTTTCAGAAATGATTTGCACGACGAGACTATGTTCTTATTATTACAAAGATGTCACAATCACTCCTAGCTATTAGATGTCAAATTGGATGGCTTAGGGTGTGTTACAAAATTTGAGGATTTTTTTTAAAAAATTTTTGAGTCTAGTCAATAACATGCTTACAACTACTAGATTTAAAATCAGACAGACGAGAGCGATTGTGACCTCCTTGTGCTGAAAGTAAATGGTCTCTTCGTATACTTGTCTATAATTTATATATTAGAAGCCGATATTGAATGGGACTCACAATTTTAATGGGAAATCTGTTTCCAAGAGTAAACTTAACCAAAAGACTTTATATATAAGTGATCTATTCATAGAAGAAACCTGAACCTTTCCAATTTTTGATATGGAAATCGGTGCGGTTTGTATAGAGCTTAGGCTCTAAACAATCAAATTAGAGTCTACCTTCAAATCGTGCATAGAAATGTGGTTTCAATACTGGAGATATTTGTGATAGCCTTAAAATACATTATTATCTTTATTTCTAAAGTTTAAAGTTTCAAAAATAGTGTAGATCGACAAATCTATGAAAACTTGAAAATCTTGATGCATTGCAAAATATACGATTTTCAAAACCTGAAATCTATTTTTTTTCTCATGTCAATGCATCTTGTTGTCTAGATGATCAATTTGAAGATATTTGGGGCTCAAAAAAACCTCTTCTAGTGAAATTTTTTAGGTAGGCTATTTCATTGTTTAGAACCTTTGCTCTATATAAACTTTTCCCTATGGAAATCTATATTATGGGAGCATTTACTTTTAGTATAAAGAGGTCATCAGCATTATTGGCTGTCAGATATGAGATCCGGTGGTTGGAGATGTGTCATTGACTTGGTACAAAGTCCAAATAAAATTTTTGAATATAATGATACATTTCAATTCATGGGATTTCACATCCATTGACTACAAATGATTGTAATCTTCTTGTTCTAATAATGAACGGTCTTATAATATACGATCCTTATATTCAAGGAGAAAATTTCGTTCTCAACTTCTTTGTATTCGATCTCTTTTCCCTTATACTGTCTTCTTTTGTTATTCAAAGGGCTGCCCCCCGCTCTTAGGATTGTACCTTCTCTCTCTAGCTAAGGAGCAAGAAAATATCGTGCCATTTCCTCTCTCTCTCCATTTTAAAGTGAGGTGATACTATACACTTACTCTCTTGGAAAGAAAATTAAGTTGGGAAAATTTTTTGGATTCAAAATTTCTGGAAACACCTAAAGGTTATTAGATTATTATATTTAAAAGAACAAAATTTGAATTTTTAATTTTTAATTTTCTAACATGTAGATCACACCCTTCAAAAAAATTGTACTGTTTTCATTCAATCATAAAGCATTATTTTTCTTCAAACCCGTAGAAAACACAATTTTTGAGAGCAAAACTTGTTTGGAGAGAGAGATGGTCTTCTTTTCAGTCTTTGTGAATGCACACGGTCATCTTCTGCTGTCTTTGTGATGTACTTTCTCCTGGGTCTCCACGATTCACAGTTGCAATGCGAAATTTCGTAGTAAATCTATCTATACACACAATAGACATAGAATTGTAAGTGTGTCTTCATGATTTTAATTAAAATTTATATGAAATCCCAAGCTCTACATGTTACTTTTCATAGATTTCCAAGTTTTCTGAGAAACGTCCATTCTTTTGAGTACTATTTAACACTAAAGAAATTGGATCCAATTCATCTCTGTAATTAGATAAGATAGTTATTTTCTCAGGACTAATTTGATAAATTTTAGAACCTTTTTGTTGAAGTGCACTTGAAATTTGATAAAAAAAGAATGATTCATTGTTTATAATTAACAATGGAAAACAGATAGATTTAATAATTCTTGTTTCAAACATTAAGAAATACCTGCGTATCCATCATTTCAGTATCCACCACTCCCCCATGCTGCCCCACCTCTGCAACTTCGCCACCCTCCACCACCCCGCCAGTCCCACCATGCACAACCTGAAGGTCCACCCGTTCCTGCTGCTGCTCTAGTTGCTGAGCCTCAAAACTGTCATGGTCTAGTTGCTGAGCCTCCAAAAGACCATGGTCTAGTTCTTGATTGGCACTGTAATTCCGTTGTAGATTATCTATTCCATGCCCCAGCTGTCCTAGAAAAACCCCTCGCCAATGCGGAGGTTCTTGTTTTAGACTGTGGAGCTTATACTCAAGCATCTTGAGCTGCTCCTGAAGCATGTGTATGATATACATACAACCTCCAGGGTGATTTAAACGGGCATTAGCCTCGTATAGCATAGATTTCACGGCATCGGGTCTCTTAATGGGTTCGATCATGAGCGTCAAGATTGGGCATATTCTCTCTATGCCGAAAAGGCTGTGGAACTTTAAGAAGTCATCCATTCGATCTGCAGGGAAATATGGCGCAAGAATACAATCTGGATCGCATTTCCTCCCTTGATACTTGCATGAACTGCATATTTGTCTGATGCTATTGCTACTGGCCATGATCTTGCACCTGGAAATTCAAGAAATATCGAGGATGGACAAGAAGAGAGATAAAAAGATCCATTAGAGATAGATGCTCTTGCACAAGTAAATTCAAACAATAAAGAGGAGGGATAAGAAGAGACAGAAAAAGATCCAAGAGAGAGAGAGAAAAACAAAAAAGATTCATTATTGAGATTGTTCCAAATAACCAAAACACGATCTATTCAAGAAATAGAAGAAATTGAGAAGGCAGCAGGGAGAGGGATTGACATACCCGAATAATATTTTCTTGAGATGAATTGTGAGATGTGAAAATGAAACTTCTGGTTCTCTTCATTCAATCTAAGAGGGAGAAAGAGAGAACTGAGAGAATGAGAGACGCTGCACACTTACGCTATATAGAGCGAGAGCAGAGAGAGGCAAAGAAAGGAGAGAGAGAGAGAGAGAGAACAGAGAAGTTGGGCGGGATTTAACGGCGAGGCTTACCAGTTTTGGCGTGATCCCATTTTGACACTGAAATATTAACCAAGGTTCCCCGCCTTCTTTCTCTCTAGAACAACAAGCATTCTCTCTCTCTCTAAAATTAACAAGCGCTGTTCTCTCTCTAAAATTAACAGTTCTGTGTTCTCTCTCCGTCCCCGGAGTAAAAATAATACGCGGTGTGTGCACTTCTTTTCAGTAGCGTTATTGTATGGTTGTTTCGGGTGCTCTGCTCTTGCATATTAGAGAGAGCGAGAGATTTCTATATGAAATGAAGATAACATAAAAATTGGTTAATACTTTAATTTAAATTACCCAAATTTTAGTACTGAAATTTAAGAAATTTATGCAAAATAATTTTCATCTCAGCTTATTTGGTTATAAATTTCATCTCTCAGCTTATTTGGTTACAAAAGTTATAACTCCCAAAGGAAAGAAAAAATAGAATTGCAGCTGCAGCTCCTAAACCAAAGAACAGTTAGATTTCCGGTGTCAGTTATATTTGCGTCCTGTGGTTTTCTTGATTTCCCGTTGATTCCTAAGAAGGTGGGTTTTGATCTCCACCAATCAACAAAGGCTAGTCCATAGCCTTGGTACTGCTTTACTTTCTCTCTCTTCCCCTTTTTCTTACCTTTTCTCTCTGCGCCTTCCATTCCTCTGCCGTCGACCGTCCACCGTCCTTTAAACCACCTACAATTCGTCCTCCATTTTTCGTATTTCTCTGAAGCCATCAAATCTTGTTTTTGCTACTCTCTCACCCCAGATCGTCTTCATCTTCGTCGTTGTTATCATTTTTTTATCCTTCGTGCATTTCTTCCACCGACGAACTCATCAAGCCCCAATCTCTCTCTCTCTCTCTCTCAGCATTTTCTTAAGCCCAAGACTCTCTCTCTCTCTCTCTCAAAATTGAGGATGCAGTCTCTCTGAAGATTGAGGATGCAGGAAGAACAACAAATGACAGCACTGCGATAGGTCTTGTGAACTGCACGAGTCCCCTTGGTGTCTTGTCTTCAAAAAAATATTGTCCCCGCCTCGCCTCTCATTCTCTCTCTATAACTATCCCACCGTCCATCCTATTCCACCTCACTCCAACGGCACGCACAAATATTACTTCTTCTTATTTTGTGGTGAAGAAATATAAATGGCCGAAGTCCATCAAGAACCAAGTAGCGTGGCGGTACAAAACACCCTTAACAAGGGGTCACGATTATCCGAAAAATCCATCCAAAAAAAAAAGGTTCTCCGGCTATATATATATATATATATATATATATATATATAAGTAAAGTAAGTAAGAAAGTAAGTAGTGTACGTACGTAACGTACTACTACTTAGTTTTAGTTTTAGTTTAAATTTAAA